TATCATGTGTGCAGCATATAACCATTTGGTACCGACTTTTGATGGAGAGACGGTTTGAGAGCGACCGACATACAATAATGCCTCCAAATTTTTTTGTTTCTCATGCTTTGGAAGAAGGACAGGACTGGAGGGCGTTTATGGCTGGTATTGCTACGTACCCCAACTTCATGGTTGCTTGGTGGGATGTTGATACGGTAAACTTAATAGTTTATATTGAAAATAATATCGTTTTTTTGTTATGTTTTTGTATTGTGATGTAAATAAACATAATTTTATTTTCTGATCCTTATACAGGTCTTATTGCCGATTCATTCATCCCCTAATCATTGGCTATTTGGGGAACTACGATTAGCGTCAATGGAAGTGCATATTTATGACAGTCTTGGTAGAGGTGCTTATGAAAAACTCCAATCTGAAGGAATCTTTTCCAAATTTGAACATCGGCACTACTAGAAAAACAGCCTTTTACGACGCTCATTGCGCGTCGTAAAAGGCTCAGACGACGCGCAAATGCGCGTCAAGGAAGGCCCTGTCATAAAGAGAGACGACGCGCAATTACGACGCGCGTTTACGACACGCAATGCGTATCAAGGAAGGCCCTGTCATAAAGGAAGACGACACGCATTCGCGTGTCGTAACCTTACGACGCGCGTATTAATGACACGCAATGCGTATCAAGAAAGCCCCTGTCAAGAAAGGTCATGTCATAAATAAAGATGATACACATTTTTGCGTATCGTAAATTTAAATATTTAAAATATATATATATATATATATATATATATATATATATATATATATATATATATATATATATATTTATATATTTATTAATTTTTAAATTAAATTTGCATTCAATGTGTCATAATAGAAATAAAATACGATATACAAAAAAAATACAATCCGTTGAATAAACTTTAATGTCATACAATTCTATTTCTTACAATATATAAATTTGCATTCATCTAATCTACTCTATGTTTCATACTAACAATTGAAATGAAGAATACAACACTTGCATTTTCAGCATCTTATCTCTTTCGGCTTGAGCTTTCTTTTCCACTTCTAACTCGAGAGCTATTCGCTTTCATCAACCCTGTAAACACAACACAAAATCACTTGTCATTTTCATTCGCTTTCCAATTTCCGTTGTGTGTTTAAACAATGACAATCAAAATGACAAGAATACCCTCATACAAATTGTAAATATTACCTGTAAAGCTATCAACAATGACAATTCTTGATCCTATGAACTAGAGAGTATATCATCACAATTCCATCTAACACCACCCATAAGAACCCGTAAAGCTATCAACAATGGTAATCCCTGTTTCAATTCTTTTTTATAAAGGTCATTTTTTATAATGTTTATGAGTTATAAATACGTGTGTGTATGTTAAGGTGTTTTTTTTTGTTATACACAAACAGCAACACACAGGCACACACATAAAAAAAGTAACAAATAAATGATGTTTTGCGGAATATAGCATTATCCTTTCATAGCAGTGTACTTTAAGTTTTTGTCAATTATAGCATTGAACTTTTGTTCTCTCTCTCTCTCTCTCTCTCTCTCTCTCTATATATATATATATATATATATATATATATATATATATATATATATGGTTAGAAATAACAGTAATATGAAACTTGCAAAGAGAAAGAGAAAAAGTCAACTCACTTGGTCAATTGCAAAATGAGCAGGTTTATCTTTTACAAGAGACAACTCTTCCCTCAAGCGAACCACCACTCCAATAGAAGCATGTGTGGTAGTGATTCTCGTTTGAACCAAATCATATAAAGATGAAAATTCAGGCATTGCTACTGAATCTGCATCCTTCATCCTCCCAACAACAACAGCTTCACCAAGTGGAATGGGATCAAATATCTTACAAGGCAGCTTCATTAGAGATGATTCGTTGTATTTCAAGAAATCCTGTAAATTAACAAGAAATACATATGATTTATTAACTTGTCAATTGCATGTTGAAAGAAGTTTTGTAACTAAACGACCAACTAAAACATTAACAGGAACGACTTTTATCATGGAAAGCAACACTTTAAGGCACGAATCATCATCATGACTGTACTCCACGAGGGATTCCAAAAATACCCCTAGAAACTTGTCAATGTTGGACTCCTTGGTTAATCCAGAAAGAACCCCCGAAAGATCCATTTATCACAAAATCAAAACCATGTTCAGGAAACATAAAGAAAAATAAAAACTTTGAATTGTCAAAATAAAGAAAAAATTTATCCTTTGAGGCCTACCTATTTTCCTTCAAGATATTAACAGCCTTTTTAGGGAGCACTTCCACAGATTGCAACTGCCATGTAAATAAGAAGGGTATAAATTAATTGCATAGAGTTACGGATAAACAACATATGGCAAGCAAGAATACCTGTACTGGCCTAACATTGTCGTGATTAAATTGCATTCTCTGTTATACCTTGTAATAGATAAGAAAAACTGTTAATTGATGATCCTACTATAATCTGCACTTCATAATGTAAAAGTTAAATCAATTACTTGGTTATAACCAGCAGGGGCAGCTGAAGCATACGGTCCATAGCTTCCCACCATTCCAATATTCCCTGTATTGCTTCCTGGCTTATATTGTGGAAGCGGGTATTTAGAATTAGAGGTGGTAGCCACTGGTGGTGGTGATGCTGGATACATGCCTCCGCCGCCTTGTTGTGGTTGTTGTGGGAATGTCTCGTTGCTTAAAAACTGATGGATAGCAGGTGGTGGAGGGACATAAAATGGGGAGAAATATGGACCGTATGGGATGTAATTTGGAGGGTAATGTGGTAGATGAACCCTTGGTGGCTGCCGGAAAACAGGTAATGGTTGTTGAGTGACGGATATGGAGCTTTGCATGACTCCGGCGGTTTGTGTGGCGGTTGTTGGTGTTGGACTGGTGGTGGATAGCATTAGTGAGTTTCCAACCTGTGGTTTCAATTAATTAGTAAATAGAGGCATATATATGGTTAAATTTGTTGGCATTTAAGAAACAAACCTCTTGAGAAGAGTGAGAAGGTTGTTGAACATTTCAATTGTACTTTGTGGTTGAGTGGAAAGGTGACATGCGCCCATCACTCTCACGATAAAGGTGAGCATAATAGCTTGCTGGATCAAACGGTTGCTGAACCTGTAAATAATTTTCTCAAAAAAATCATTTTCTTTTTTAATTAATTAATTAATGGATTATAAATAAATAAATAAATAAATAAGGGTGGTAGGGTCTTACTACAAAGCTTGGGACATGAGAAGCATCGTGTGCCTGAGACTTGGTGTTTTCAAAAGATGTAACTTGGCTTCCAATCATTGGTGGCATGAACCCAAAACTGAAGTTTGGATTTGGTGATGTATGAACAGCTGGGTATTGATGACTTGGAGTAGGGAGTGAAGAAGAAGAAGAAGAAGAAGAAGTCTCTTGCTTCGACTCTCTGCACTCGGGTCCCGCATTCAATGACATGTCACCTTCTGTTGGTAAATTCTTGGGTACATTAGATGAAGATGTGGTAGGTTGTTCAAGATGATCCTCCTCTCCATCAGCATTTTCATTTCTGAACCACTAAAGTGCATACATTTATCAGAAAATGTTGTCTACTCCAATATGAAATACAACCTAAGTAACAGAAACCTGGATTGCATTTGATCCTCTATAGTTTCATCAGCCTCCTCAGATGCTTCAGACGTCTTTTCACTCATGGTCACAGCCACAGGACCATTTGAGTTTGAGGGGGTTTTATTAAACCAAAAATGGCATCAAAACTCCCAAAACAGAAGCCGAGTTTTTCGGCTTCAGGAACATGAAGGTGATTTGGGATAATGACATGTTTATCATCTGAAATGTGGGACTCCTTCAGCTTCTTCTCAAGTTCATCCTCCTATGAATCAAGATTAGTGGAGGATGCAGAAGAAACTATTGTTGGAGTATGAGCTTCAACTGGAACCACAACCACAGGCACCTTAATTGACCTTTGACTTTGAGAAATTGGTTTCGGTTTCCATTCCATGCTAGGACCAACCGTAGGAAATCACAAACAAGTTTATCATTAAGTTATACTGTTTCACTTCTAATAAAAGCATTCATTTAAAAGTTAAGGTATCAGTGTCTTGATACCTTTTTGAGGTCCAATTGCTTGTTGCATCTATTATTATAATTTGATGAAGGCCTGGAAATGGATAAGGAGACAGCTGTCGTTTCACCTTCCTTCTTGTTTTTTCATAGAGATTCTCTAGATGAAAATCTTGTTCTAAAAGAATTGTCACTGCAACATCTGGAAAGTAGTGGAGTTTGTAAAGTTTTAAATGAAAAGACCAAAATACCCTCGTTACATATATAATAATAAAAGGAAAAAGGTGTATTACTTACAGAGCCATTCCAATCAGCACAATGAACAATACCAAAAGAACCAGTGCAAATGTTGGTCTCGCTGCCTAGTCAGTGAATCGACTTCTCCCCTTCACAATTCTGTAAATCCTTAAATTTGAACCTTAGTACAGGTTCTTGCCTCCTTTAAACTATAAAGAGTCAAACCCCCTGAATTTCCAAATATGAAAGCGAATTGCTTAATAAATAAATAAACCAGTATCACATAATCAAACTAAAGTGACCTTGATTAAAGTCAAAATAGATTAAAGTCAAATGTCAAAGTGAATTGATTAAAGTCAAAATACATGCAAAATCAACCTTGAGATCGATTATGAGAGGCTAAATAAAATCGGAATGCAAAAGATGAGAATTAAAGTGAAGATGATAACGTCAGTATACATTAAGAATCGCTCCCACATACTTCTTATTGGAGGAGGAAGCAGCTCATCTCCAGGAGCGCCATCTCTAACGCAAATCAACCCACATCCTTCTTATTGGAATCCTTTGTCTTAGAGAATAGAGATGAAGGAGGGTAGGAAGCGATATATAGGGTTCGAGTGTGAGAGAGAACCGTTATTGCATCACCAATGATCAGATTTCAATAGACGCACTCCAAACTCAACCTGAATTCGGATCCTTCGAAGGCACCAGTGGGAGGTATATGTTTTCCCTAGATCCTGAACTCCCACTGGATTTCTTCCCAGACTTCATGCTCTTCCATGGGTCGACTTTCTTCCCTTTGCCACTCTGATTACACAAACGTACCTGCGAGAGTCGGTCCTCAAAAATTTCAGTCTCGAGTGATTCGGAGGTGGGACCACCGGTAGAGGAAGAATCATCGAGCGTTTCTTTCGTTTTGAAGGAGAAGGTTAGGGGCAGCGGTGCGTGGGATCTGAGTGGGGATAGAGGGATTGGTGTTTCGATCTTGAACTGGTATCTTGAGATGGCGGAAGTGTGTGCTTAGGTTTCTAGATGCACTCCAAACTCTTAAAGCTTATCGGGTTCGATGTTGGTGGTGGCAGCTTAGGGCTTAGAGAGAGAGAGAGAGAGAGAGAGAGAGAGAGTACAGAGGTAAAGGAATACGAGCCGATTCAAAAGGATGTGTTGGTTCAAAAGGATTATTAGGGTTCTATTGTAGGATTCTAGTGTGGATTGAGTTTTTAAGGCTCAATGGCGGTGGCAGTGGCGATGGCTTAGGGTTTACAGAGAGAAGGAAGGAGTGAATGAAAAGGGAGATACTGAGGAGAAAGGGTAGAAGCGGGGTTCTTCAAAATTTTAGAATTTCAGACGATTTCATTTTCCCCCTTTAAAAACGCGCGTTTAGGAAAAAAAATATATAAAGCGACACATTTAGAGGACGCACACTTTATGAAAGGCGCCCTCCGCATTTCTTTTTTTTTTTCTTTTCTTACACTAATTTTAGGGCACGCACAAATGCGCGCCCTCTATCCTTCAAATTTTGCAAAGCTGACATTATTTTTTAGGGCACGTACAAATGCGCGTCGTCTATCAGAGAGTGTCATTGTTTGCGCGTCATTAAAGGTCTATTTTCTAGTAGTGCGGGTGGCAAATTATTTGGACAAGATTAAGTATTGGGCCCAGAGGAACATCCCAAGGATTCCATTGAATATGCAATTCATTTATGAAGAAAACGTTCCCCAACAAAGTAGTCATTTGGGAGATTGCGGTGTTTTTCTTTGTATGTTTATGGAGCAATTGGTTTCAGGTCAACCAATACGTGTTCTTATTGACCCAAAGAACGCAGCTTTAGAGTTCCGTCTCCGGATGGCAAAAATTATTTGGGGGTCTTGTCTTGGTCCTATGTAGTTGGATTATATAAATGTATATACAAATTAATGTTGGATTTCATTATTAGTTTATTTTTACAGTTTACTCAACGGACGGCAAAAAATATAACGTTACGACAATTACAACAAATTAATGACCTACTAATTACTTAACATTACATAGAACATAAGAACGATTACAACATTTGTTTTAACGTTACAAATACAACAATTTATTGACCTAACAACTTCAAAACCATAAAAACAATATTGAAAAGCTTACAACTTGTAAACAAGAACTGCCAAGAACAACACCCAACTACAAACCAACGCTATCTTTAACTTCTTATTTTCTGATTGAAAGAGCTTATTAGAGTTAGCTACTTTAGCTATTACCATAGAAGAATGGTCCTTCTCTTCATCAACCCAACTGATAAACCCGCATTTTGGTCCCTGTTAAATTTAATATTCACAGTAAGAAAATAAATTTTTGTGATGTAAACACGAGGGTTTAAATTTGAATGACGTTAACAACATGATACTAAATATGGGCAAGCGTAAAACAATCTTCCTGGGTTTTTAGATGTTCCCGAAATCCTAACGATACGTTCTCCTCCGCAATTGCAGTATGCCATTAGCCTAGTTTTTCTTATAAATAGGAGTTGCTTTCACTGATACAGTTTTCATACTGAGTGACACCCTTTTATAGAAGAAATCATGTTACAGACAAATCTTTTTGACTATGAAATGAACTGGTTTGACTATGAATTCAAAAAGTTGAACTACGAAATCCAGACAAGTACATTCTGTAGTATTGTCTTGTCGGTCAGTGAAATTTGACTATGAAATGAACTGGTTTGACTATGAATTCAAAAAGTTGAACTACGAAATCCAGACAAGTACATTCTGTAGTATTGTCTTGTCGGTCAGTGAAATTTGACTATGAAATGAACTGGTTTGACTATGAATTCAAAAAGTTGAACTACGAAATCCAGACAAGTACATTCTGTAGTATTGTCTTGTCGGTCAGTGAAATTTGACTATGAAATGAACTGGTTTGACTATGAATTCAAAAGGTTAAACTACGAAATCCATACTAGTACGTTCTATAGTATTGTCATGTCGGTCAGTGAAATTTGACTACGAAATGAACTGGTTTGACTACGAATTTAAAAGGTTAAACTATGAATTGTCAACATTAGAGATACAATATTTTCTATTTATAATCTCATTTTATTGATATTGCATTTGTGTGATGATTGTAGAGCACTTTCATCGGTTTTGAAAATGAGTACTAACATCGGAAGAAGCTTTTCTCAACTACCAATTTTCTTGCATAACCTTCAACGAACAAATCCTAATACCTTCACAGCCATCAAGAAAACCGATACCAACCGCTTTCAATTCTGTTTTGTGGCTTTAGGTTGCGTGGTATAACATACTAATTTTATTGAGTTATATAATATTTCATGGTAATGTATCTCGATTAGTTTTTACTCATCACTAATATGTGTTCGTTTTTATGTAGATTCGTACCTTCCTTAGGTGCATGATACCGTTGATATATGTGGGTTATTTACCCCTTATTGGGAGCTATCTGACAACAATGTACTTCGCAGTGGCTTTAGATGGAAATCATGAACCACTACTCTTAGCAATTGGTTTGGGAACCTTAGAGTGTGAAGAATCATGGAGATGGTTCATGATGAGGTTAAAAGATTGTTTAGGTGACGACATAGAGGTTGGTTTCATAAGCAACCTGTGTGATAAAATAGAATTTGGTGTTTATAGTGCCTACCCGGATTCCTATCATGGATATTGTCCTAAAGATATAGCTCGAAAGATACGTGACTATGTGGGACATAACAGTACGGAAGTTGAATCGTTGTTTTGGAAGTCATGCAATGCATATAGCGTTGATGATTTTTACTTGTGTTTGGAAAGGTTGCAAAGTGAATGTAGGAAATCACCTTTCTTTTCCTTGCTTAGGAGTCCAATTTACTAGCTTGACGATATTCCGATTTCAAAATGGACACGAGCATTTTTCCCAAGAATACGCTACAATGTTAAATCGATTGACGTCCCTGAAATTTTGCAAATTATATCCAGACGTGAGTTTCCTATAACAACGATAATTGAGTTAATCACCACGTCGATACAATCAAAGTATGCTGAACGGGCCGACGTGGCGGGTAAGGGAGATTGTTTTATTTACTTTTTTTAATGTGTTATTATTTTTATTAAAATATCAAAATTTTCAGGGAGGTTATCTGGTGGGTTGACCCCTTACGTTGAGAGTAAAGTTCAAAAATGTGTCAACAAGTCTTACAATTGGAATGCAAGACGTTTGTATGGGGATACATATCAAGTCGATGACAATTTTGCAACCACCAACGTACAACTTGAACGAATGGTATGTAGTTGTGGTAAATGGAAAAAACGCGGTATACCATGTGCCCACGCTATAGCATGTCTAAGAACCCGTACATCTAAATCCATAAACAGATTGGTTGATTATAAGTTCACTAGTTATGTGTATCGACTTGCATATGGATCTGAGTTGGTGAATACTATACCATCACATGTGCATTGGGAAATACCAAATGAAACGGTGGTCCTGTTACCTCCCTCAATGCAGTAGTTATTCATGTAGCACCTTTATATGTTATGTAGTATTATGTATTAGTGTCGTGTTATGTATTAGTTATCCGTGAAACCTGTTTACATTTTATGTCGTATTATGTATTAGTTATTTATGTACCTCATTCATATTTTATGACTTATTATGTATTAGTTATTTAATTTATGTCGTATTATGTATTGGCTTATGAGGAAACAACACATATTAAAAGAAATGGACTTTTATTAAATAGTGATGCCTACAGACATCCAACAACAAGCAACTTAAATAACGAAAATCCATTACCATAACCAACATGCATATTAAAAATAAGGGACATTCTTTAAAACATTCCATGCATCTAAGTGGGTAAACTCGCTACCATCATATTCAAAACGGTATAGTTCCAAAGCCACCTGCCGTAGAATGTCTTCATCCGTATTTGCATGTTCATTATCCAACTCGTTGTAAATACGTTGAAATTCTTTCACCTTCATTTTCAAATCCAGAAACTTGGCTTTGACATCTTTTCTTCTTCGATATTGACTACGCCCCATTAAATGGTGAAACAAATGACAGACACGAGACCAAAATGATCCAGCACGAACTTGTGGGGGACCCGGTGGAAAATCCTCCTCTACAGTTATAATCCAAGCTTGAACCAAAGCGACCTCCTCTGCGTTCCTCCATGTATGTGGTGAGTCCATAATTGCAGGGAGGGAAGTAATACGAAACAACTACAATGCATATTAAAATCTATTTATAACGACTCCTTCATTTCCTGCTGCAATGGCTTGTCAATTCAAGCAGCAATGTATTGTGTTTTCATTCGTCCGAGGATGACTTGTCAACTCAAACAGTGCTCTGTTATGTTATTAGTATAGTACACTGCATTCGTCAGTTATTTTTGACTATGAAATGCAGACATATTAGAAGATTGGACTGCGATTTTGTGTAGAAACTACTATGATTTGACCTTATGTTACACAAATACTTTATTAAATAAACCAATACAGCTGTTCAAATATTGTTTTTTATATTCCACTCTCTTAGTTTCAATCAAAATGAGTTCTATATCATGGAGCAATGAAGAGTTCTTGGTTCTTACACATGCTTATATTCATGTGTACGAGACAAGCAAGTTGAACGATCCAATGTTTTGGACCCGTTTAACCAATATTTTCAATGCTGAAAACCAAAGGGCTACTAGAAACGATCGTGACGAACTAGACATCTTAGCAAGATGGTATGAAATGAAAACCGAAGTTCTATTATTCAACGATCTTTATACCAAAATTGACGACACCCGTTTAAATGCTACTGAGGAGGTTATCTTGGAAGCTGCTAAGGAGGAATACAAGTCATTAAGTAACGGGTTGGAATTCCAGTTTGAAGCCCCTTGGAATATTTTGAAATATATCCCGTTTGTTTAAAATCTATTTTAGTTTATTATTTGAGTACTAGGTTAATTTCATGTAATAGGTTATTTTCATGTATTTTTTATGTATTTCGTATGTATTTCGTTTGTTTAAAATGTATTTTAGTTTATTATGTGAGCAACTCGTATGATTAACTTGAGTTAATAAATGGTCATTGCATTAGTTATCACAATATATTAGAATACATTAGTAACAAGGATTCCATGAACCATTAAAAACATCACAACAATTACATGAAAAACAACGACATAATACGAACAAAGCATTAACGTAAAACACAAGTCCATGGGTTATTCTTAACACAAAATAGAGTCGTCTACTTGAAATACTGTTTATCTCTAACAACCTTCCAAACTTCCTCATATTCGAAGTCTCTGCCGTCATGCTGACAGATGTAAAACTCTGTAACAACTTCCAAGAACTCTTCTTCGTCACGATAACGAACATTGTTACGTTTCGCATAACCACATGCTCGATTGAACCATGTCACTTCTTCCTTTACATCCGTCCACTTAGTAACAACATCTGATTTTTCTCTTTTTTGCCCTTCTCCCATCTCATGGTTAAACAAAGATGTGATGCGACTCCATTCATCACCAATTAGGCAATGCGGGGGAGCAAGTAAACA